AATAATAATAATAATAATAACGGTAATACTAATAATTTTATTTTTTATTTTTTATTCTTCTTCCAGATGCCTACACTACTTTAGCTCGAGCTCTAAATTGGAGCTCCACAGCACGGATTGCGGGAAATTAAACGATTGCGCGATAAGGCTGCCGAGCGAGGACGACAAGTGGCTCATGTTCAAGAACCATTGCAGGAAGGAGCGCGTCCCTTTCGTGGTCTATGCCGATTTGGAGTGCGCATTGGAGAAAACGGATAAGGAGCCTACATCATCCACGTACACATACCAACATCACAACGTCTTCAGTATCGGGTATTACGTTTATTGTTCCTATGATAGCTCACTGTCAGGCTATCGATTTCACCGCGATAATAATTGTATATTATTAATCCTAACATATCATTCAAATGAAAAGGTCAAGCCATGTTCAAAAATAGATCCTCGCAAATTAAAAAATCCAACAAATTTAAACCTTTGAAAACAAACCGCAAAAATGTGATCCTTCCTAAATTAAAAGAATTACCTAACCACAAAATAGGAAACCCAATAAATTTCAACCTTTGAAAATTAACCCCAAAAATTTGAATCTTTCTAAATTAAAATGATTATCTAATAATGTAACATAACAATTTAAACCTTTAATACTTTAAATGATATTATCTAATATAATATATGACCACGAAAAGTAACTGATATATTACTAAATGTGCCAGTTCAAAGTGAACATACATTATGTTATTTTCTATGTTGAATATGTACCACGAAAAGTAAATGACAGATTAATCAAGGTACAAATTCAAAATGAACAATGAACATACCTACATATAAGTAAAACAGATTACAATCTGCATATTACAGTTTTCTAGAAAATAACTGCAACATACATAAAGTATATTTTCTATGTTGAATATGTACCACGAAAAGTAACTAATAGGTCATTCAAGGTGCAAATTCAAAATGAACATACATACATATAAGTAAAACAGATTACAATTTGCATATTACAGTTTTCTAAAAAATTT